TTTATGCGACTCCACTTCTGTCCCCACCAAATAGCATGCACCACTGCTCCACCACCGGCCTTCCACCACCGCCGTCCTTCGATAAATGAGCGTGAAAAAGAAGAGAAAAAAAAAAACAAGCTCTGATGCTAAATTCGCCCGGGGATTTTCCACAGCCGGGGGGCAATTAAAACACAAAAATGCATTCGTATGCGCTCACGAAACAAATGCGATGGGGTTTTTCCGCTGGGCGGTGGGTGGTGCATTGGATGGTGGTGCTGTGAGTGGGTGGTGGCAATCGTGTTGAATGACGACGCCTGAAGCCGGGTCCGTTGGTCCGGAGTTTGGAGTCCGGAGTCCATAGTCCGGAGTCACTGCACTGCGAGGAAGTTTTTAAATAATATCCAGAACTAACGTAGATATTATATAAAAATTTATTTTTGGTTTAGTTACAATGGAATATTTATTCTTTATGTAGTGGTTAATTTGTTTTAAATTTAACTGACTTCGCATTTATGGAAATTTTTTATAATAATTAAAATCCGTGTGTTTACATTTTACTAAAATTAATGAAATGTTAAAGGTTTGAATCTTTTTGACTTTGTCAATCTGTATGTAATGGGTATTAAGTTTTAAACGTTAGCCTGGCAGATGTTTGTGGAGTTATGGTAACCTTATTTTTTAGGGTACGCTTAATTTCCGACAGTGAGCTTCGTTCAGTCCGGGATGGATTAACATGTTGGCCGCACGGGGCTCATTAAGTGCGTCGTTGACGTTTGTCGTCGTCCTTCGCTCCGCGTCCTTCGTCCTTCGTCGCTGGCTCCAGCGAATGACTGAGTGTGCCCCAGTGGCTGCGGCAGGGGGGCTTTTCAGAAGAGGGGAGCGGAGAGGGGGGAGGGGGGTCTTAAGCGCTGGGACTCCGGTTATGTGTGCTTAGAGCGCACATCAAATAACAAATTAACGATGACGACGCCACAGGAGCCGCAATCATTTTTACTTGTTTCCTTTCTGATTTGTTTCCGTTCTCCTTGTTTCCTTTTTTCCTGCCCTTTTCCTCCCGGAAAAGCTCGCAAATATTTGCATTCGCTGAATGAATGATTTGAATGAATAACTCAGTTGGACTAATGATGAGTGCGGTTAACGTATCGAGAATTGCACTGCATGGGTTAACGAGCCGCTCGAAAACGGGTGAAATTAATCCGAATAGAGTTAATATGGGGTTATTATAATTGCAGGGGTATTGAAGCTTTTATTGGGTTAACCATTAGATAAATTATCTGGCCCTTTTACTATAAATGTTGGTTGAAACCCTGCTAGAAATGTTATTGTTTTAAAGATGTTTTATATAAACTTAGCTGAACTATTAAATTTTAAAATACATAACAAGCTTCAAATCTTTTTATTTGCTGAAGTTATTTAAGCCTTTAATATTTATTATATAATCCAGTACGATGTTCTAGCTTTCCCTTTGTTGGTTAAGTAACAGGTCTTTGAGAATCCTTTTCGAATTCATCCTTCCGTTCGAACTCGTTGCGTCCACTTGAGACACTGCACTCGGATAATGGCTCAGTGCTTATGGCAATTGATAATTAGATTTGTGTGGCCTGCGTCTTGCCGGGGACATAACCCGGCCGATGGATTTGAATGGCTCTGAATACAAATCGACAGGTCCTGCTGGTCGTCCTCCCTCGTCTTCCCCTTCCAGGGATAAAATCCAGCTCCTCCGTTCCACATGGAGCGTGACAAACTCGCCCAGCCACAAGAACTCGGTTCGAAATTCGAATCCTCCCCACAATCTTCTCCTGATCCAGATGGCTGGCTCCTCCTGCAGCAGGGTCCTTCGTTCTTCGTCCTTCTGCTTACGACTCATTTGCGTTTGGCGCCCGTAAAGCAATTATGACCCAATTGGTTTGGCTTTGGTTTGCATTTCCCTTCAATCCACGCCCCCGCCGCCTCCCGTTGCCGCCCCCTTCTTGTCGTGTGTTTAACCTGATTTGTGCCCAACTGTCATGCCCGCTACGGGCACTGAGAGAAAATGAGCAGAAGTTCTGGATATCATTACATTTATGACAAATTAGACCCATTTTTTTTATGATTTTTCATTACTTCTATAATGTTTTACACTTATGGCAACATAAGCCAACTCAAAACAAAAAAATAATATAGCATAAGGTAGTTACTTATACATTTGCAAGCTTAGTTGACCCACTTATTAGTTAAACTTATTTCTGCCAGTGTAAACATGCAGTCGTATATGAATGTCCTTATGCCTTAGTGTGTGCATTCTGTGAGTGTGTCTGTAACTGGCCATGGTCGTGCCCTGATAACAGCGGAAAGGGGGGAACCAGGGTTGAGCCAGGCGAATGCGAATGCGAATACGAATGCGGGTGAATCCCTCGTCCCGCGTCCTTCGTCCTTCGTCCTGCGTCCCTGTTTCCGGTCCTCGCGCTCCTTCTCTTTGTGCATGATGCAATGAAATTATCACTTTCAATTGCAATTGCCACACACTCGCCAATTCAGTGGGCGAGAGCATGGAAGGCGGCTAAGGGGGATGGGTTTTCAAGGGGGTTTGGGGGGTTGGGGGGTCTGGATGGAGCTGCCGGATTGAAGAGGCTTTGGGCAGGTGTTGAGTGCACGTAGCTCAGGTATGGCCGCTTTTATGTCTGCACGTGTGTAGCCCACTCACTCTAACTGGCATCTACCCTTCTCTCTTCGGCCCTTCGGATCCTTGCTTCTAAGTCTCCTCTGGCTGTTCCTAAAATCTTTATAGATTTCGGAAATCTTTTTATGGGTCCGAGAGTGAGCCGTAAAAATATTCAACACCTATTGCGTTTGTTTTGCTGCGTGAAAAAGAAAAGAGATAAAAAAATCCTTATTCGAAGTATCCCTTAGGGAACAATAAACTTATTGTGAAAAGCCAATTTTAAAAACATTTGTTGTTAATAAATTTGGTTTTTTAAAATCCTTTTTGTGTTAAATTCCAGTATTTCATATTTTTGTTCGGTTAGCTCTTAATAAAAGATCAAGTAACAACTTGCAGATTTTTTAGAGGTCTTCTAAATCTTAAATGGAGTTTTAGAACATTGAAATTAATCGGGAACATCCTTTCGCCTGCATATCCTGTGTTCCCTGTTCAAATTGGACTCTCTGTTTAATTTTTAGCCCGACTCGCAGTGTGCGCCATTTGCATTGCATACTTTTGTGCGTTGCCTTCATTTAATTGCAACGCTGTCGCAGGACGACGAAGGATCTGGATTCCGAGGGATGGGGCTTCCCAAGTTTTTGGGGGCGGGAAAGGGAAGCAGAAGCTGTCCTTTTGTGTGACAAACCAACTGTGGACTGCCTGCTGTTGACTGAAAGATATATGATGCCAAGCTCAAAAGGCGAAATTCGCTGCTCTTTTTAGGGACACTTTCCGCATCCTTCCCCTTCACATGTACATATACACACTCACACTCACACTCACACACATACAAATATATATATATTTGTTTTGTCTCTGTGTGTGCCATTTTGTGCAAATTAAATTCTTTGCTCTTTGCTCCGCTTCCATTTGTTGTTGTTATTCCTCGCGTCGTTTTTTGCGGATTTCCATTTAACTAAGTTCTTAATCAGGCAGGCCCCTTGACAACTGTCACTGGCAGGACATTTTCTTGTGGCAAGGGGGAGTCCCCGCGGGGCGCTGACCCATTAAGAAATATGTGTAAATGGAGCATGTATTCATAGAATTCGGAGCCAGCCAAGAAAACCGAAGAAAAAGCTTCCAGACGAAGGAGTTTAAACACCTTTTGGGTTTTCATTTAATGAATGATTATTCAACTTATTTAACAAACCATTCGCTTAAATATGATTTTAAACTGATATTTTCCTGAGTTTTTAAAGTATTTATGTTCTTTAAGAAAGGGGAATATATACTATATATTCAATTAATTTCTACATTGCCCAGTTAAAACTTTATAAGTCTTTCGTTTAATTGGCGTCCAACTAATTTCTACGCTCGCCAGCTAATTTCAATTTCAATTTGTTTAACTTTGCTCACTTTCCCTTTGTTGGTGCCATCTCGTTCGCACACCGCGATTGCTGTCTCTCTCTGCGGCAGCCTAGTTTCAATTTCTGCAGCTCCGCCAAGTTATTGTTGTTGTTTCCCCTTGTTTTGCATATTGCATTGTGGCGCCTCCCCTCACTTTTTAACCCTTTGGGTTTTTAATGAGCTGCAGGAATAGTTTTTTGCAGCCGCTGCTACTGCAACTGCTGCTTCTTCTTCTTCTTGGCTTTGTTGTTGGCCTGGCCTTGCGCCTATTTTCCAGGAAAAAAAAAAAAAAAGAAAAAGGGGCGGGACGAGTTGGGTTGACTCGTTGGTCGTACGACCCTTTTCGCATTTTTTATGCTTTGGCGGCTCATTAGCGGGTCACTGTCCCCTAGGGCTAAAACTACTCCCCTTCCCCTCCCCCTTCCTCCACCCCCTCTCTCTGCTTCCCTTTCCATTTCCATTTCCCCTTTAGCTCTTCCTATTTTTATATTCTTTCCTTTTTTTTTTACTTTTTGTTGTAAGAGGCTTTTCCCTTAGTCATCTTTGGCAATGGGAAATTTTGTATCTTGTCCGCAGTGCTGACAAAAGCAAAAGTGTTGAACAAGAAGGCATCTACCACATGGACCTATCGCCATCTCTCTTTCTCTCTTTTTCTCTTTTTCTCTCTCGCCATCTCGCTCTCACGCTCTGTGTGTCTTGTCGCTGATAGCGCAAAAACTGTCAGATGATTATCGGAACGGGGGGAACGCCTTTTGTCAACTTTATAAACGAGCTCATCTCGGCATGACGAAAGACTTGGACGCAAGGCACGTCCATATCACAGGTCCCACCCGAAATAAAGCACACAGAGCAACGCACGCACGTCTTAAGGAGCAGTGGTTCCGAGACCTGCGGAAAATGCGGAAAAGCCAGTAGAAAATGCCCAATTTTGGGGATAAAATCTAATTTTCTCAACCTGCTTTTGATAAAATATTTTCTCTTTTATTTTTAGGAAAAGACTCTCTGAAGGAATAAAGAAATCTTATAAACTGTTAAGGAGCCTATACTTAAAATGTGAGTTAACCATTATTAATAGTTTCCTTGTGGGTAAAAAATTTTAAAACTTTAAATAAATGCCAAGGATTTTTGTTTGGTGTCTTGTTAACCATAGGGACTTATTCTACTATTTTTATTTTTTTCCTTACGTTTGTTATCATACTTGTGGGTACTAAAGTCCGTTAATACTCTGTTAAATTTTTCATTTAACTTTTATAAAATTATTTATTTTTTGGTTAAATTGTTATTTCTCTAAATACTTTTCTGTGTTTTGTGTCACGGCTTGTGGCGCTTTAACCCTTGCATCCTGATCCTGCAACGGACCCTTTGCACACTTTGCCCGTTTCTGTTTGACATGTTGGTGGCGTTCTTTTCTTGAACACCCACCTCCAACCCCCTCCCCTCTCCCCTTAACCCTTACCCGATCCCCGGGGGTTGGGTACTGTTAATTGGCTGCCACAATTTGACTTTTTGTCGCCTATCGGGCAAACAGAATCAGTTCCAGGAGGCAGCTCTCCGTGGGCGACATCATCATTTCCATTTCCACAATAACCCTTCCTTACCCAACTGCCCCTCCCCCTTTTCTTGGCCACGTTTTCTTCCGCCTTTATCGTGTGCGTGACTATCGAGCTGTGCGCCAGTTTTGCATGGGAAATTGAAAATTTTCACTTGCTGTTTGTGTAGCAGTCAAAAGCGTTGGATCCCTACTCACAAAAATCAGGAGAAGTTTCCCAAAAACAAAAAAAAAAATCAGGGAATAAGGAAAGGGTGAAAAAATCAAAGTGAAGGAAAACTAGAGAGTTCAGACAAGGGTTACTCATACGCCGTGTGAACGCGGGCAAACAAATTTCTAATGCGATTTCCTTTGCTGCTGAGGGAGCTGCATTTTAGTGCAATTTTAACAAATTTCACGAGTGAGGCTGCCGCCACAAGGGTTTTGCCTTTATGATTTGATTTTTCGCTTTGTGTGCCCCAGCTGCAATTCCCATTCCCATTCACCCTCATACAAACGTATATATTTGTATATGTATGTATGTAGAGGATGGTGGGGGCGTGGGCATTATAAACTTATCATAAAATAAAGTTAGCAGCTATTCAAACCGCAAATTTTTGCAACGACGCGTTATTAAATCACCAGGTGTGGGAATTTGTGTGCACATACGAGTCTGTGTGGGAAACTTAACAAAAGCAAAAATATTATAAAAAGAAAAAGGATAAAGGAGGCAGGGGGGAAAAGGCGGGCACACACACACACACACACACTCACGAGGACACACACACACACGTCGCCAAAATGCAGGCAGCTGCACAAAATGGCTGCGACGAAACGGAAAATGGGAACAAGCAGAACGAAAAGTCAATTTGCTACGGAGAAGAAGAGGGGAGGGGAAGGGGGAAAAGAACTTAAAAAATACCCTTTGAAAAAGGGCTCGGCGAAAATATACGAATTGAGAAATTACACATAAAATGTTTATTATTATATATTTAATGGCGAAATAGCATGATTATAGGAAAAGATAACATTTGCAGTTTGTTACTACGAATTATATATTTTGTGTATTTGATTTAAATGTTTATCCAATAGAGGCACTCCCACAAACATATTACACAGAAAAGCATCATAACAAATTTAATTAAAGTTAACCACAACAAATAGCTGTATTCATAGAAAGCTAAACGAATATTAGCTCGCATTTTTGTCGTTCTTTGCGGGGAATTCGCTGGGAGAGATTAATGCAGTCTAGTTGGGAGCCTGAAAAGATCGGTGGGGATATATGCTCCATTGTTCAGGGTATACAAAGGTGTAAAGGTATTGGGGGGAATATGCGAGTGGGGGCAGGGGAAGGGGAAGAGGAAGGGGGAAAGGGGAAGGGGTGCTGGGTTGGTAAGCAGCGTTGTCAAGCCAAAAAGCAGCAGCGTTGACATTTTCTCAACTTAATTAATTTTGCTGCTACCCCGGCTAATACGCACGCACACTCTCGCCAGCCATTCGTATACCAATATGTGCATATATGTATACATTTATATACATACATATATATATTATATGCTTAGGTGTGCAGATGTGCGAATGTGTGTGTGCTCCCTTTGACTGGCACTTTGTTTAGTTTTGGCTCGCATTTTGGCGCTTGATTAAATTTTCAGCGCGATTCCGGGCGGGGGAAGCATAAATATTTCCGATTTCAATTTTCAGTTTCAATTAAATTGGAAATTGCGGCGATAAATTAAATCAGCTTGAGACTGTCAAAGGATTTCAATTACGCAACGAGATGAGTTGATGATCGGAATGGAGTTGAATTTGTAGTTGGAGTTGGAGTTTGAGTTTCGCCTGCATGATTTATGGCCCGGATTTGTGGCGGAGTCCTTGGCATTGACTTCATAAGGACTTTATTAGTAAATAAAATTCCGTAAAATATAAATATGCTGAGGGGGAGTGGAAGTGGGTTGCTGTGCCGTAGGCCATTGCCCATTGTCCCGGAACCTTGGTCCTTTATCCTTGCTCCTTCGGCCTTTCTCCGGCACTCAAGTGCTCGTATTCCTCTGCTTTTGTGCACTTGGCCCTCAGCAAACCCTTTCGCCTTTCTCCCTTCCCGTTTTCCCTTTCCCCTTTGGCATTATGCAAATCGCAGTGGCACGCCCCCTTTTGCCCTTACCGCCCTTCTGGGGGGCACAAAAGAGTCGGCGGACCAGCATCTGGAATGTCGATGCACAACACCAACAACAATAACAGCAACAAATACAGCAATGCCAACACCACCAACAACAACAACAACAACAAGAACAAAAAGCAACAACAAGCAACAACAAGAGCAATGGAACGGCAAGAACATCGGCTGCATTGGCAGCTATGGCAACGACTTAAGTGGATTACAGCGGCAACTTGTTGGCCGGGTAAAAGGATCCGGAGATCCCCGGGTTCAGTGTTCAATAAACACACCCCCAGAAACCACGACAGGATAACCAGGATAACCAGCGGGAATACTCACTCAGGAAAATAACCTTCTAAGCTCGGCAAATCGATCAGTAAATATTTGAAAAGTGTCACTTGCGTAGTTCATCAGTCAATTATGCAAGCTTAAGGGAGAAACGAAAAAATATATGTTGAAAACAAGGTTTAATTGGTAAATTCCATACAATATTCGGGATAGAAAATTGAATGAAAAATTCTGCAATAATATTTAGTTTATAAATTTGGTTTCAGTTGAACAAAAGTTCCGTAAAAATCTAGGATAAATTGTTATGACATTCCCAGTCAGTTGAAGAAAGTTTTCAAGCTAATTAGTCCCAGTTTAGAGTCCTTGATTTTTGCGGCAGTGTGTCCTTTTTCGAGTGCAGAGCCTCGAGGAGCTGCCTTGTCGGAGGACAACTGCAACTCCATTTCCAGCTCATCTGCCCCAGCTCAGTGGGCTCTTTGGGGCTTATGGATTTTCCATTTAGCAGAGGGCCAGGCGACTCCTCGAATCGCCGGATTTGGCCGCTTCTACTGCCAAACACTCTAGACTTCATCGATATACGCGGCGTATACGCAATGCGGGTGGTGAAGTGCCTCAAGTGGGAGGGTAGCTGCTGATTTCCCCCAGAGATTTTTCGCAAAGAGACAGCAATTAGCCGGGAAAAGAATGCTGAAGCGAGAGCCGCTCGGTCACATAATTTAAAACTCTCGCCCAACTGCAATTTAAACTTTGTTTGCTGCCTTCGTTTACAACGCGTCGCCAGCTCAGAAATTGTTTTCAGCCCTCGTCGTCCTTCGTCCTTCATCCTTCGTCCTTCGTCCTTGGTCCCTGGTCCTGTCACCCTGAGTCCTCTCTGGCTCCTTGTGCTCGTTTTGCGTGTCTGTACTTTTAGCAGTTATGCAGTTGCCTAGCAAATAATAACTTCCGCCTTGGCTGCTTTGACTAAGAAATGAAATGATTACAAAACAAGACCAGAGGAGTTGAGCAGCCCGTCCACTGTGCATTTTATTGCTTAAAGGGAAATGTACACGACTCTGGCCAAAGCTGAAGCTGAAGCTGAAACTGAAGCTGAAACTGAAGCTGAGCAAAACTTTATTGCCAGGGAAACTTTGTCGGGTTGGGCAGAGAAAGAAGTGCACCCGCCGTCGGCTGATAGTTATTCTTATGTACTGCTAATAAGTACAACAAATAACAGCGGCAACAACCCAACAACCACGCCGCAGCGACATAAATAAATAACATTCATTTCCGCCCAACGAAACTAGTTGTGTAGCGGTCCCCCTTTTAGCCCCCGCGGCCACTCGAGGGTTAAGCGAGCGAGCGAACGAGCGAGCCGCACCACAATCCACCGCACCACCCAACCACCGCACCACCGCACCGCACCGCCCACTTGATAGTTTTCCCAACCGAATCGCAAGCCCACTCATCGCCAGTCGATGGAGCGCGAGCGACTGGAGAGTCCTCCAAAAGTTTCCTCAAGTTGATCGAAAAATAAAGCGCGAGTTGTGGGCGAAACAATGGGCCAAATCGGGGATGCTGCCGCCCAAACTTTATCGGCCCCCCCCACACGATTCATTGCGCTCTGTGACAACTCTTTTGGGCCGGCAATCAGCCGCTGATTGTCTGCGAAAAGTCACAGAAGCGTTTGTTACCATATTTATTGCCGAGAAGCGTAATTTTTCGTTGATTCGCAGTACTACTTTATGTTCAAAAAATAAACAAAAAATTATTAAAAAAACACGATAAAAATTAATCTTAATTGTCTACTTAAAAATAGAATATTTTGAGCATGTCCAAAACAAGAGTTTTTTACCAAAAAAAAAACTTTATTTTTTACCAAAAGAGGGGAAATACTTATCCGATCGCAGAGTGTTATATCACATTGAACACGTTATAAAATTCGGCATTTTATAAAAAAACTTAAAAAATAATATTTCACAAACTGCCAGTTCCACTTAAACAAAAAGAAAATCGTTCGGCTGCAATTCTCACTCCAGCTAAGTAGCAGCATAAGGAAAAAACTTTCAACGCTTTTGGTTCCCAGTATTCAAAGTTGAGGGACAT